GGGGTTCCCTTCAATGAGACAAATCTCAGCTCATCCATAGTGACTTGAAACTTACTCTATCCCTATCTAATTCAATCCAGGGGGCATTTATTAAGCACCTACTATGTGCACTGTGCTAAGCACAAAAAGAGGCAAAACACAGTCCCTGCCCTCAAGGCGTTCAAAATCTAACAGAACAACAAACAAATATGTGCAGACAAGCTAGATGCCAGATAAATAGGAAATAATTAACAGAGAGAAGGCACTGGAATAAAGAGGGGTTGGGGAAGGTTACCCGGACAAGGTGGAAGTTTAATTGGGACTTTGAAGAAGCCAGGGAGGTCAGTAAGGAGGGGGAGTGTTCTGGGCAAGGGGGACAGCCAGAGAAAAGGCCAGTGGAGATGAAATGGCTTGGAGGCAGCTAGGTGGCACAGTGGATAGAGCACCAGCCCTGGAGTCAGGAGGACCTGAGTTCAAATCAACTCAGACCAGACACTTGACACTTACTAGCTGTGTGACCCTGGGCAAGTGACTTAACCCCAATCGCCTTGCAAAAAAAAAAAGAGAGAGAGCTAAAGTGTCTTGATCGTGGAGCAGCCAGGAGGCCAGGGTCACTGAACTGAAGAGCCCATGTTGGGGAGTATGGTGTAAGAAAGCTGTAAAGGTGGTGGGGAGGGGCACGAGGTTACAGAAGATTTTGTATTTGACCTTAGAAGTGATTGGGCAAGTCACTTCAACTCCCTGGGCCTCAGTTTCCCCATCTGTAAATGGTTTTAGTCCCTTCTAGCTCTTGCTCTATGACCCTTGGACAAGACCTTTGACCTCTGCGCTTCCAAAGTCCAGCTTTAAATGTTGGGTCCTGGGATCTGGAGTCTCTTTCCTCCAGGCTTCGGTTTCCTCATCTGTAAAATGGTGGGGTTGTATTAGACGGCCTTTGAGGTTCCTTCCTACTCTAAAGCAGTTGAGGGCAGGAGTGGGGGACTGGGAGGAGGAGGGAGGGGCTGAGATCATAAGAAGCTTTCTATAGGAGGCAGACTATGAGCCTTGAATGGAGTGCCCAGGGACCTATGGGGCCTCCATTCCATCTTTCACCATGAGGGAGTTTCCCCTTCCATGGAGCCCAGTTCTGCCTCCTCATGACTTCACCTAATTGCTCCTAGTTGTGTTCTGTGCTGTTTAAAGATCTGTGAGGGATAGATACACTTCCCTCCCACCAACCCTTCCAACTTAAGGCTGTGGTCACATTGGCCACATCCTATATGGAGCCAGTCTGGGTATCCCCTAGTCATTGAATGTCAGAGTGAGAAGGAATCTGGAAGATTGTGGCCAGCCCCACGGGTTCCTGGCTAGCCACACATATTTTTACATTTGAGAAAACAGAGAGACTTGTCCATGTCACACAGTGAATTCATTTCAGAGCCAGGAGTGGAACCGGGGTGTCCACACTCCTGGCCCAGCGTTCTCTTCACTACATTCCAAAGGAGATCAGGAATAAGAAAAGGCTTTGAAAAGTCCTAAACCCTTTGCAAATAGCTAGGGGGTAAGGGGGGGGGATTGTTCTTAAGGACCCCCTTGATGAACTTGGCTGAGAACATGGCTAGAGCTTCGGAGGATAGGCAGCCCTGGATGGCTGCTTTCTGTGTCGCCAAAGGAAACGCCTGAATCATTGAGGTCACTGATCCACTGGGATATTTTGAGCGTTATTAACCAATTGTGGTTTAATGCAGAAGGCACCGGGCTTGGACTCAAAGCCCAAACTACCATTCCTCGGTCTCCCACTGACTTCCTGGGGCAAAGCACCTGCTCCCTCTGGCCTCACTTTCCTAATCTGTAAAACAAAAGGGTCAGACAGCATGATCTCTAAGCTCCCTAGCCCCATGTTATAAGACCCCTCCCAACCCTGATATCCCCTGTTCTAAGGCCCCTCCTAGTTCTGATATTTCCTGTTCTCTCCAAGCCCTATCATTCTGGGATTCCGTGAGCTATTTGCTGAGCATCTGCTATATGTACAGAACTGTTTATTGAATTGATTTGCCTGAGCCAAAGTCCAGGTAACAAACAGCACATGGTCTCTTCTAAAATGTTCTGGTGGGGTTTGTCTAGCTGTACTGGTGGGGATAGACCTGTGATTTCATTGGTTTAGAGAACTTCCAGGTGAAAAAACTCTCTCCCAAGGAGCAGGCTGACACTTTCTTTGCAACTTAACATAGACTTAGGGAAATGCCTAGAGCCCTGAGACATTGGTTGTATTCCTACACCTCAACACCTGTTAAAGGGTGTCTAGTCCAAACCCCTGCCTCATGGCTCTTCTCTACACTAACCTGAGCAAGGAGTCCTGTGGCTTCTACTTGAAGACCATTCACTAAGCCCAGAGGTGGTCTGGTGCGTGGTCGGGCAGCTCCAACCGTTAGAAACTTCTTCCTTATGTTGGTGCCAAAGTCAGCTGGCACCCAATGGTCCTACCATTGCCTCCAGAACCACACAGAATAAATAGAATATCTGCCCCACCACCTCTACAACTATGTTTCAGTTATTCAAAGAGTATGACTACGTTCCCCAAAGATCGTCAGTCTTGGAGTCACCAGACACTCGTTCGAAATCTGGTTCTACCACTTACTGTGGACAAGCATTTAGCCTCTCAGCCCTAGAACCTGCAGTAAAATGAGGTAGTTGAGCTAACCTCTGAGGTTCTGCGGCTATGAGGGTCTAAGGACACAGTCCCCAGCTCTTTCTAGTAAACCTAAGATCTCAAAGCTTAGGGATCCCCTGATTAGGTCTGGCTGTCCCCTCCCCAGTTCAGTGGATGGTAAGGTGAGGAGGAGGAGGCAGGCAGACATGCTTAGGAGAACAGTATTGTTCTACAATGCACAGGAAGTGGGAGGAGTTGGAGACTTAGACCTACAGATGCCAGGGGTGGGGGGCGCTGATACCCAACACTCCAAGGTGGGGCTCTCCAGACCACTGGGCAGAAACAGGTGCATCCTGGTCCCTTTAACTTTTTGCTGATCGGGGCCCCAGCTTCTGAGGCTCCCTCCCCTTCCCCCACCTCCTCACACATGCATTAACCCCTTCACTCCCTATCTGCTTCCCCACTCCCCACCCCTCTTCCGTGGCCTCGGACACGGGTGTGTATACTGTGGATCTTGGTGTGGCTGGTGGGGACTCCACCAGCCCAGCTGGGCCTCCACCTTTGAACATTGAGCTCTCAGCTCTAGGCCTCTGTCTCCCTTGGGGCCCCTTCCTTGTCCCTGCTAGGACCCAGCAGCAGCTAACAACCTGCACTCTTGGGGGGAAGCCTGGGCCCCAGAAGCCCTGGGTTCTACCGCAGCCTGTGTTGCTGTCTCCTGGAGTCAGCCACTTCCTCTCTGTGAAGTGAAGGCGTTGGAATACCAGCTCTGCAGCTTGTGACCTGGGGCAGGTCCCCCTTCTGGGCCTCAACTTCTCCATCCATAAAATGAGAAGGTTGGATTACATGACCTCTAAGGCCCCTGCCAGCTCTAAATCGTCACCAAGGACAGGTGGGCTAGGTGCCAAGCCCGTGAGTTGCGTCCTATCAGGGCCTTTGACAATTGTTTCCTGATCCATCTGGCCAAGTCGAAGGGGCTGGGGGTGACCAAACCCTCTCCCGAAGGCTTTGAGGTGGCCTTAAAAGAGAGATGGGTCTAATAGGCCCTTGCCACCCCCCAGTCCTCACTGAGCGCAGCTCTGGGCAGTCCACAAAGAGCACACTGGCCTTGAGTCTGAATGGGAACTCTGGCTATGCTACCTAATTAGCTGGGGAGGACCCTTGGCCTCTCTGATCTCTAAGCTCCATCCAGCGGCACAGACATCCCACAGGAACCTTGCAGGGTGAGAAGAGCAGGGAAACACCAAGGTCAGGGACAGGGGTAAGGGAAGGAGGGAAGCCAGGAGACCCGGGCACAGCCAGAGCTCGGGCGGGACAGGACGCTCCCCCGGGTGCCTGGGGCCGGCCCACTCACTTCCTCCTCCTCCTCCTCCTCCTGGCTGAGCTAATCCGTGTTTGCGTGCGCAAGTGTACACACACACACACACACACACACACACACACACACACACACACACCACGCACGCACAACAAACGGAATGTACACATTGAGTCACGCACGCACGCACACCCGCCCCACGGGCGCCCAATGTGGCTCCCCTGGCCTCACACCCGCCCCGCTAGTGGCTCCGATGGGATGGCTCTTTGGGGCTGGGGAGGGGGCGTGCTTACTCTTCTTCCCCCACTCCCAAGTCTGCCTTCCTGGCCCCCCCCAGTCAGGAACGTCGGGTCCCACCTTCCCTTCCACAGCTAGCCAGCCTTTTAGCACCGGCAAGGGGCGGGACGGAATAGACAAACTTTCCTTCTAGGTTCCCCAACCTCAGAGAGGTCCCCTCTGGCTCAGACTCGGGTGGGGTGGGGGGAGACAGACACTCTCTCTGCGTTCCATCCCCCTTCAGAGGGGGGTGGGGTGGGACAGGCACCTTCACTTTCAGTTCTCCCAACTTCAAAGAAGTACCTTTCGTACGAGGGTAGGGAAGACAGACACCCTTCCCCCCAGTCCCTCCCCCCTCCTCTGTATACCAACTGGGTGCTGGGGACGATTCGGACACCCCCACCACCCCGCCCAGCAAGTGCCTCCACCACTTCTAGCTCAGCGAATCCCCTTCTCTGCTGAGGGGAGACAGACAACCGAACAATTCCGATTCTCCTCCCTCGCACTATGCCCAAGGTCCCAGGACGAGAGTAGGACGGACAGACAGGTACACACACACACACACACACACACACACACACACACACACACACACACACACACACACACACAATCCCTGTCCAGCGTTCCCCTCCCAAGCTTCCAGGAAGCCAAGGTCGGCGAGGGGGCAAAAAGCGGACGTGAAGGGATAGAAGAGGGTCACTGTGAGGTGGAAGGAAGTAGCCGGACAGTGGAAAGGCCCCCCCATGCACCCCAACCTTGAGGGCCCCCGGGGAGGGGGCCTCGTCCGCGCGTACTCACTCAGGTTCTCCCACTCGGTCTGGAAGTCTCTCCTTTCTTCCCCTTCTCTTCCTCCTCCTCCTCTCTCTCTCTATTCTACCTCCGCCGTCCCTGGGTGATGGGTCCCTTTCGGCCTCCAGCCGCCGCCTCCCCGGGCTGTGCTCCGGTATCGGACTTGGGCTCGGGCAGCCGAGAGTGGAGGCTGCCTGCTGGCGGGGAGGCGCGCGCGACAGCGGCGAACGCAGCAATCTGCTGAGTTGTAATGTGAGTTTCCTGGAATTACTCACTCACAGGATTCCTTTCATTCATAAAAACACAGTCATGCGCTGATGTCACCCCTCGCCGCCTCTGTTCCAGCCCCACTCCCCCCGGAGGGAGGGACGGGGCGGAGCTGGCTCGAGAGCCCCGCCTGTTCCTTGTCGGGGCTCACGCGGGCATCTTAGTGAGGGGCACTGCTGCAGCTGAGGGAGGGGAATACAAGACCCACTTTAGCGTGGTGGGGCGGTGGTAGGGCGTGCAGCCTCTTTCGGGACTCCCACCAGGAATCACACCTGGAAAGGGCCTTAGAATCTAGACCAAGCCCACCACTTTTATCGGTGGGAGCATTCCAAGAGGAGACTTGGCCGAGCCCACAGCATCTTGGATGTAGAGCTGACGGGAACCTTGGAGGGCGTCTAAATCAGCCCCGCATCTTTGCAGATGAGGAAACTGAGGCCCAGAGAGTCGGGACTCCTTTTTCATTTCATTTTATTCTGAATTTAACAAACACCAACCACGATGTACAAAAGAGAATAGGAAAAAAAGGATTATGTGACATCTTGCTCCTTCTTCCCAGCATCGACAAATTCAACACATTATTTTTAAAGCTGTCTGGTTTCCCTGTTTCCTACTGACCATCCTTCCATGCATTTTTGGAAGTGCTTCCAACTTCCCTCCCCTTACTTTTTTCTCATTTGTTGTAAAACTATTGCCAGAACTTCTCATTATCCACCCCTATACAAACTCCCCCTACCCCAACTGAAAGAAAAGCAAAATCTTTGTATCAAATAGGCATAACTAAGCCACATGAATCTCCACTTTGGCCATGAATGTCTGAAGATGAGTCTCATTCCACATCTTGAGTTCACCGTCTCTCTGTCAGGAGGCGGGCAGCCTGTTTTTTGGTTTTTAGATGTGATCTTGGAGGTAATTGGGGGCCACTGAGTTTATTGAGTAGGGGAATGACATGGTCTGACCCAGGAGTGGGGAACCTGTGGCCTCCAGGCCACATGTGGCCCTCATCGAGGTCCTCCAGTGGGGTCCTTTGACTGAACCCAAACTTCACAGGGGACCCTTAAAAGGATTTGTTCTGTGAAGTTTGGATTCAGTCAAAGGGCCACATTTGAGGCCCTAGAAGGCATCTCAAGGGTCCCGAAAGCCCTATAGCAAGAAAACCAATAAGAAGGTTACTGCAATGATTCAGGTGTGAGGTGATGAGGGTCAGCACCAGAGAAGAGAAGGGGGCATGTGGGAGAGACACTGCAAAGGTGAAATGGACAGGACTTGGCAGCGGATTGGACATGGAGAGTGAGAGAGAGAGTGAGGAGTCCCACCTGACTCCTAGGTTGGGAGTCTGAGGGACTGGGAGGATGGTGGTGCCTTCATCAGTAAGAGGAAGGGTCAGAAGAGGGGAAGGTTTGGAGGGAAAGATAATGAGTTCAGTTTTGGACACACTGAATTTGAGATGTCCATGGGACCCCTAGTTCAAGATCTCCTGTCTGCAGTTGCAGATACAGCACTAGAGATCTGGAGAGACAGATGCTAGGGCTGGATAAATCCATCTGAATGAAAGTCATCTGCATAGAGAAGATCTTTGAAGCCACTGATGAGATCACCACTAGAAATGGCAGAGAGGGAGATTGACATCAGGTTCTACTCATTGCCCTCTGCATCCGTTCATACAAGTCTTACTTAGCCTGCCTCCTATAGAAATCATCCCTTATTACGATGTTGAAGGGATTTGTCTAAAGCCACACAAGTCAAAGTTACCGGAGCTACCAAACACACTTGGTGCTCTGTTCATTCACTCTGTCTTGGATCGAAGAGGCAGAACTGGGGATAGAGCCCAGACCTTCTAGCCTCAAAGCCACAGCCAGCCCTCAAAGGTCAGTTTTAATCAATGAGATTGTAATGGGTGTGAGGGGAGGCTGCTGGCCTTCAGAGCGCTTTTGTATTCTCTATCAGCTAAAGCACAACACTCAGGACACAGCTCCTGGTGCAGAGGTCTGGCTCAGTTGCAGAAGTGAGAGCCCTATGGAAGTTTGGGAAATTGTGCCTTCTGTGTGTGGCTGTCCAGCTGAGCTCCCACTGTAATACGTTCAAAGAATTACAGGATGTCAGAGCGGAAAGGGACCTTAGAACACGGGGGAATAACATTTATACAGTGTCTACTATGTGCCAGGCACCGTGCTGAGCGCTTTACAAATATTATCTCATTTGAAACAACCCTGGGAGTGAGGTGCTGCTACTAATCCCATTTTATAGTTGAGGAAACTGAGGCAGACAGAGGTAAAGTGATTTGCCCAGGGGCAAACAGCTGGTAAGTGTCTGAGGCTGGATTGGAACTTAGGTCTTCCTCACTCCAGATCCAGTACTCTATGCACTGCAACGTCTAACTGCCTGGTGGAATATCAGAGTTGGGACAGTTCTTGGAAACATGAATTTTTGGAGCTGGGAGGGGCCTTAGAACATAGAACTTGGAATGTCAGAGCTGAGAGAGCCTCTGGAACAGACTGTCAGAGGTGGGAAGGACCTTAGAACAGCGAATGTGAGAGCTGGCAGGACCTTTAGACCATGCAAGATCAGAGCTAGAATGACCCCTCAAAAATCATCTCATCCACCTCCATCTCTCCAACCTTCATCCTTCAGATGAAACTGAAACCCTGAGAGGAAGGGACTAACACAGCCAATTGGAATTTTCTGGCATTAAACTTTTGAATTGTTTTTAGGGCCATTTCAGGGAATGTGTTCTTGGGAGCTCCCTTGGAAACTTCCAGGATTTCCAGAGAATGAATGAAATAAATGAGAGAATAAAAAAAATATTTATTAAGCTCTTAACTATGGGTTTACTAAACACTGGGAATGAAAACACCCACTCTAATTGGGAGAGAGAACACTTAAGAGAGGCCAGCTCAGGGCAGATTACAAGACCCATGGGCTACTTAGCAGGTCAGATTACATTGCCTGAGGGTCCAGGTAGGTAGACATTGTCTATGCTGTATCGGATGTGCTCAGGCTTAACCTTGTGAGTTCAAGAAGTCCATGGTCTTGAATCCTTTGGGTTGGAGCTGAATGTCAGCAAAGGGAAGAATCTTGGCAGCTTTTCCAGGACTCTTGCGGAGGATGGCCCTCAACAAGAGGACTGACCCAAGCCCAGCCATTTTATCAGCAAACACGGACCAGGAGTTGTTTGGACAGTGCCAAGCCAAGGTGAAATGCTCACCCTAATTGTGCCGCCCTATGTTTTGGCCCAAGATCAGAAAAAAATGAAAACAAAAAAGGTTGCAGCTGGAGCCCAGGTACAAGCTTGCTTCAGCAGGCTACGTTCTCGTGGCCATGTGGAGACCAGGTGGCAGGTAGAGGTAACAGCTCCTTGCCCAACCCCACTCTCAGGACAACACATTGTGAAAACAGTCTTCATGATTTAAAACTAAAAAGGAATAGAAGGTCAGGTAGATTTCCTTCAAGTTACCAGTTCCTGTGACTCAGCCATCTGGGGACTCTCCATCATCTCAAATGTGACCCCTTTTATAATGAGTCATATGTGTGGCCATAAGCCAGCCCTGGAGCTCCCACATCAAAGTGGGAAGGGAAGCTCTGAGCATGCTCTGTGCTATGGATGGCCCCCAAAGAGCCATTCAGCCTCCCTCCACAGCCAACGGAGTGTCAGTGAAACATTTAAAAGAATGCACAGAAGTGAAGAGAAAGAGCTTTAGAGGGAGACACAAACAGGCTTTCAAATGAATGTGTTCAATTTATTTTATAATTTAAAAAAGGCAGAGAAGCAGCAGGATATAACATATATTGGGAGAAGTCCTCAAAGCCAGGGGGACCTGGGCTCAAATTGTCTGATACATCCTAGCTATGTGATATGGGCAAAGCACTGAGCCTCTCAGTGCCCAGACAACTCTCTAAGGCTCAAAGTAACCCAGACTTGCATTGGTGGAGGGAATTTCCTCACCTGGGACTTCCCCTATACCCCTGAAATCACACATACACAAAAAGGGCAAACAAACTGGACCCAGTAGAGAGTCACAGCTTCCTACGCAATTCTCTTTTCCTATCTGTCTTTGTAGATTGTAATTAATGTCTGTGTTTGTTGGCGTTTGTCAAGAATAACAAAAAAAATTAAAATAAAATTTAGAAGCCATTTCATCTCAGGTTAGACTAAGTTGTGATGTGTTGGTTTGTTTTTGTGTTAAAATGGTGCCTTGTTCTGGCCCCCCTGACCTCCCTCCCCTTCTGGTCTGTACAATAGGTTTATAAGTAGCCAGTATAAAGGGGGCAATAGCAGGAAATTAGATAGCAAAGGAGAACCTGGAAATCACAGACAAATCATCCCAAAGCTCAAAGAAGAAAAATTCTCGAATTGTATCATATATTAGCCAGAATTCTCATCCTGGTAATGTGTGCTGAATCAGGAGAAGCTACCTAGGCACTGCTGTTGCTTCTGCTCCTGTGATAAGTAAATCCCAGACAAACTCTAGACCTCCATAGTTTCAGACCAGCAGAACATCAACAGGTCCTGATAACTTTGAGATGAAGTGGACATGTTAACTTAAAAGTTTTGCCAACAGGGGCAGCTAAGTGGCGTAGTGGATAGAGCACCAGCTCTGAATTCAGGAGGACCTGAGTTCAAATCCAGTCACACACAAAACACTCACTAGCTGTGTGACCCTGGACCAGTCACTTAACCCCATTGCCTAACCCCCCCAAAAAAAGTTTTGCCTATAACCGTGAGATGATGTGGATGTGTTGATGAACCAAGCCCAAGATGGCACAGATAAGAGTTAGCCTGCTCCCCCCAAAACTCTATAAAAATAAGACCTCAAATTCCTGCCCCTCAATCCTTCATCCATCTCCGTTGAGTCTATGCACCCTAGTGCTCCCAACTTTAACCCATGGTTGGTGGATGGTCGATGGCTTTGAAGTCTGTCTTCTTCCCCTCTGCCTGCCTCCGTTCACCTCCCATTCCCCTATGCCCACGCCATCTGCCTCTGTACACCTTTCATAGTTATCTCCGTGCCCTCTGTGCCTTATCAAAGGGTGATCACAGCTCCAGTGCT